TTATTTGACAGAGCACGAGTAGGCAGAGCGGCAGGCAGAGAGAGAGGGAGAAGCAGGCTCTCCCCTCAGCAGGGACCCTGGGATCATGACCTGAGCCGAAGGCAGCTGCTTAACCAACTGAGCCACCCAGGCGCCCCTACCCTTTAAGACTTTTGATCCATATCGCCAGTTTGGCTTTCCAGGAAGTTGCTACCAATTTATATTCAGAAAAATATTCAGAATATTGAGGGTGCTTCCTTCCCTGAAACTTCTCAATAGTGGCAATCATAAGTTCCTTTTTTTTTCCCTCCAAATTTGATACAGAGTAACAATTTTTACTTTTGTTTTGAAGTTTCTTTGCTTATGGAGGTTGAATATTTTTCATGTTTATTAGCCGCCTTGGATGAGTTGCCTAATCATATCCTTTGTTCATTTTTGTCTTCTTTATTCATAAAGGTTTATTATATAGAACTAACAGCCTGTTTTCTGTCAGATATGCTACAAATGCTTTCTCTTGCTTTTCTCTTTAGTATTTTTTAGTTTTTTTTAAACTGCAGAAAATTAAATTTTTTGTTACTGAAATGTATATATTAGTATCTCAGTAGAGAAATCCTTTGTCTCTTGGCCTTATCTACTTCAATTTAGAAACACTGGGCAGTGTAATAAATGTGGAGATAGAACTCTTATCGTTGAACCCCAAAGCAGCCATAATGTTCTGGTGAACTAATACCGTGTACTTCTTGTGTAGACTTCTGCCAGAGCCTGCAATTTCTTCAGTAATGTCTGGGGCAACCTAAAGGGTTTAGAAAACTGGCTCTACAAGAGTCAGCAACAAGAGGTTCCTGAAAAACCAACTTACCAAAAGTGTAACAGCCATTCTTCTATCAGTTCTTACGCTATTGAAATTGAAAAGGCTGGAGACCTGGACCTTCTTGATCAAGATGAGATGGACCTTTCTGATTGGCTGGTGACTGCTCAGGAATCCCAGAAGCTAGAGAAGCCTGGGAAGGGTAGCTGTGAAACCAGTGAGAAGTGGAAGCTCCTGTTGCAGGTGTTCCAGGAGCCCTATAGTGTGAATGATTGGCTTGTCAAGCCCGATTCCTGTACCAATTGTCGCGGCAACCAGCCCAAGGGTGTGGAGATTGAAAACCTGGGCAATCTGAAGTGCCTGAATGACCACTTAGAGGCCAAGAAACCCTTGTCCACTCCCAGCCTGATGACTGAGGATTGGCTTGTCCAGAACCCTCAGGACCCATATAAAGTAGAGGAAGTATGCAAAGCCAACGAGCCCTGTACAAGCTTTGCAGAGTGTGTGTGTGATGAGAACTGTGAGAAGGAAGCTCTGTGTAAATGGCTTCTAAAGAAAGAAGGAAAAGACAAAAATGGTATGCCTGTGGAACCAAATCCTGAGCCTGAGAAGTGTATAGATTCCCTGAGTGTGTGGCTCTGTCCTTCCAGAAAAGAGGCAACGCAACAAGCTAAGATGTCAAAGGCAGTGGCTCCTTCTAGAATTGCCGATTCCTTCCAAGTCATAAGGAACAGTCCTTTGTCAGAGTGGCTCATCACACCCTCATACAAAGAAGGTTGTCTCAAAGAAGTGCCGAGTACTGAAGACAGAGCTGGCAAGCAAAAGCTTATGAACCCCGCGGCCACTTCCTGGTGTCCCTTTAACACAGCTGACTGGGTCTTGCCAGGAAAGAAAATGGGAAACCTCAGCCACTTATCCTCAGGAGAGGACAAGTGGCTACTTCGAAAGAAGGCCAAGGTGAGCACAGACATCAAAGTAACACCATTTGAACTAAGTAGATTTATACTTTCTTAATCTCAGATCTTGCAAATGGGCCAGATCCTTAAATGTGTTAAATGTTGCTTGGCCTATTAATTTTGATGGAAGATTTGGGATACAGACTGAAATTTCTGTACATTTTCCAGGCCCCCGGCCCCCATCCTGTAGGAAAGAAAAAAACAAAACAAAAAAACCCAGAGTGTTTTATTGGCTGTTTATGGAAAAGATTAAACTGTTGTACCTTTGCTCTTGCTTATGAGAGAGAATGGCCAACAATATTCCTTATGGACGCTAGACTATTGGGAAGATGAGTTAAGTTGGTCCCTTGCTTCCCAGTTGTCATGGAGCAACCCACCCTTGTTGTCTTCTTGCAGGAAGCATTACTGAACTCACCGCTACAGGAGGAACGTAACTTTCGCCAAGACCGTTACGGCCTCCCAGCAGTTTGTGACCTCTTTGCCTGTATGCAGCTTCAAGTTGACAAAGAAAAGTGGTTGTATCGAACGCCTCTGCAGGTGCGTGCAGGCCACTAGCCTAGCAAAATCAGATTTTAGCTGTTTGTGTTTTGTCTTCAGTATGAATTCACACTTTGCCCACCGATCTGTGTTCCTGTTAATGGTGTGTGTGCTAGGCAAGTGAGCATGGCTGGGGGATCATAACCGTTTCAGGTATTTCACTTGAACTTACTTTATGAAATAACTAGGACATACTTGAAAGTGACCTTTCAAGATGATTTAGCTGTCGGGGGAATTGTCAGAGCCTGTGTGGATTTTAGTAGCTTATTGAGAAATGAGTCAGAGCTCTAAGGGGGTGGGGGGAGAGATTTGCTTTTATCCTATAGTGAAGTGACACTAATCTTTGGGCTTTTCTTCATAGATGTGAAGGAATGGAACACGAGTCAAGCAACTTTTCTGCAAATTACCACACCTCCAAGGGCCGAGTGACTGTGCGGCTTGCCAAATCATAGTGTTTCTCCAGTCAGCTTAGTTCCTTTTCCTACCTAATTTTGAGCTAGTGAAGAGAAATAAGTCATCAAATTATGAGTTACAATGTAAAAGAAAAAGGCTGTTTGTTGATGCTGAGGTGATTCAGTTCCTTCTTACAGAAGTATTAACTCAGCCCTACACTAGAAACACAGCATCTTGGTGGATAGGTCTTTTTCATAAGCCTCTACAGCTCCTTAGATTGGATTATTACTAGAAGTACATTAAAACACTGTAGTTTTAAAAATGAAATAGTTCTATAATCAAGGTGTGATGTATTCAAAAGCTAGTACGCTTCCCTAACCTTTTGATTGTCCTCCTTTAGATGCTTCCCTTGCTGTGGGTTTTCTTCCATTGGTGGTGGAAATGATTCTTCTGTTTAATATATAGTATATTTCACACAAATAGTTAACTTTGCCAGTATATTTTTTTTCCTTACCAAAATGTGTATTAACAATCTTGGCAATTTCGGACATTAATTACATTTGAACCTACATGTCAGATTCTACATTATTTTTCTTCTTTTGAAAGAGATTCAGCTACTGCAAATTTTGTTTTTCCCTTTTCTAAATGTTATTATTAAAATATCTAGTGAGCTTTTAGAAGAGCTCCATATTGCTTCAAGACTATGTTCAAGGTAGTCCTAGCTGCTTTCAGAATATTCTGAACTACAGGTCAAAGAGCCCTAGTGCTGACTTATCAATCAAAGAGCAAAAGGCAAGACATGTTGGAAACGTAGTACTTGAACTATTTGCTATCTTAAGGGTTATTGGTGCATCCTGTGTAAAGGGAAGCTGAGCTTGACACCTGGTGCTTTTAACTAGGGTATATTAAATGTCCTCTCACTGCAAGCATAGCATACCTATACCTCTGAAAGTAGAATGCAGTGACATTTTAGTGAACAGGCCGTTTTGAACACTTGTGCCTTGGGGTGTTTACTGAAGCTTTATGAAAACTTGATGTTTTCTCAGTATCCTTAAAAGTCACGTCCATGCTTTAAAAGGTTTCTCTGTAGGAAATGCGATTTATAATGTTTTTAAATTCTCTAAGGTAAGATACCGTAGCTGCTTTCTAGGCTTTTAAACTATTAAGCCACTCAGCTTGCCTATATGTTGTTGTTCATACTTTTCAACTTCACAGTCCCACAGTCCTTGCCATACAGTTTCATTAGACTTCTTGACCACAGCTGAAAAGAGCCTCTTACTTTTTTGGCTCCCCGCCGCCACCCCAATACCACTTAGAACTTTAATAAAGGTGGCAGGTAAAAACTTAAGGAGCCTTTTCCATTATCTTAGGTTGCAGGAAAACTTTGTAGTTTTTGAGGTTTAAGGATGTATTCCTAACTTTACACTCACCACCATGCTAATGAGTATGTAAAACATTCTTCTGCATTGATGCATTTTGTACCCACTCCATTAAAAGCATTAACAGCCACAGTTGTTTTGTGTATTTGTAAAACTACCTTGTCACAAAATGTTCTACCACGTTAATATTTGGGTAGGAGTACAGCTGAGAAACAACTTGAACATAAATTGTTTTTATATTCACTTAAATATCAGTATATTTTATGAATCTTAAATTAGTAAAGAGTATACTAACTTCATTTTGAGTCTGCCTGCAGACTTCAGATCTGCTCTTTTAATTTTTAACCTCTCTACGAACTATATTAAACTCATTTTTTTTTTTAAAAAACGAGGCCTTCAGCTAAGGTTCAGTGCTTTCCTGTCAGATTCCTTACTAGGTGCATGCCAAAGCCCTATTTTCCTCTTCCCCTTCGTAATAACCACCCGTTGTTTAGTATTTATTACGTGTATGTGTAACGTACAGCGTAACTTAACTTCATTTCATAGGTGAGAAAACAAGCTCAGAAGTTAAATAACTTGCCCTTACCTTCTTTAGCTTTCCCAAGACTTCCTTAAACCCTTGTAGCTCGTTTCTTTCCTCTAATTATGTTTCTAATTATCACTCCATAAGGAGGTGAGTTAATGAGTAGAGAGTTAAGCATGATCGTTGGACAGAGTATTCTAACACAGTACTCTAATGGCATAATGGTTAATCTCTAGTATCTTGAGGTTGTTTAGTGTCAACTCTATTGAAGAAAAATTGTAACCTGGCTGTTAGTGGTGCCAAGTAGCCCTTCATTTCAACACAACCAAGAAAACATGTTGGCCCAGTTGGGGCAGACAAAAATGCTAAGAGTAACTTTCACTTTATATCCAGAAAAATGCTTTTAAATGGAGACGCCCGCTATGTTTACACTTTGGTTCTATTTTCACCTTTTTATTGGGAATACAAGGCAGTGTTACAGTTTCAGCTCATTAAATAAACAAATGTGTTGATACCGTATTGACAACAATCATGACCTGAATTCTGTGAGTAAGTAGTTTTCCAGTTCAGGGGGTAGAGGAGAACCACATTACTCAGCCACCAAAGTGTTCTGGCTTCAACTCGGGCTAGAAGGAATGCCAGTCCTGGTCAACCATCCAGGATCTTCACCACAGCAAACTGGAATCTCCAATTTTTCAAACTAACTGTAGGAAGAAGGAGTAATTCCAGAGTGACCTACAAATTGATGTGGACGACTACTAAAGTGTCCTCCACTCCTAAGGTGGCAAAATCCTCAGAGTGACTGTTGGAGTAAGGAGCCTTTCATGTGCTCCCAGTTATTATATAGTGCATAGAGGCTGGTAAGCGTCAGTCCTGCTAGACCACCTCGTGCTACCCCTCGAAGGCCACCTGGAAAAGAGAAGGGGGAAAAAACAGCCTTGTATTGCATAGTGTCCTGGCATCAATGGATTAAGCAATGTTATCATGAAGTTGAGACACACAATTCATGTTTATAAATATTCCACCTCAAACAGGAGAATAACAGTCCTAAAAGTAATATAAGAAACCAAGACCGGTTCAAGACAGAAATTCCCTCACATCACTTGTTTAAGAATACGGTATATGTATTATTCACAACCTTTTCCCCTCACTTTTAATTTCATAATTTATAGCTAAGATCATGAGCATTAATAATTTGATTTTTCTCAATCTCATTTGTTCCTATAACACTCCAGACAAGATCTGATGCATATTACTGAAGTCCCAAACAGATCAATAATTTCCTGCTAGTCCTAGAACCTCACAGGCACTGACAACTGATTTAAAGCTATAATATAAACAACGTGACACCCTCTTTGGAAACAATATTAAGCTTTGGACTCTGGACAGGTCCTCTATTAACTCTGAAGACTCAAGAAGTAGTGGTGATAAGATGGCCCTATCGGGCTTCGAGTCAGGTGCCGACCAAGGACCACACGCCCCCACTGCTGCCACCCCTACAATGACATACCAGACGATCTTCTACAACTCCTGAGCAAGGAGGCACTTAGCATCATCATACTCACCGAAAAGAAGGATTAGACTTTGAACTATTTTTGCTTAACAAAATAGTTTTTCATGTGAAAAAAAATTAGCAATATGTATTTCACGTGAAATGTAAAAACAATGTTTTAATCAGTTGCCTGGAAACCATCCCTGAGTCTAACAAGAGGACTAGGGGGTACCCAAATAAGCTTTTAAGAAATAACTTGATATTCTCTTACGGTTTCCCAAACAAGTAGATACCATAAACGTCAGGTAGCCTGTACTGTACCTATGGAGTATTCATTCCAAGTCATGTGTTAGGAAGGCAAAGGTTGAATGGAGCTGTGGTCCAGTGATGACCTTACTAGAGGCCCTCTGGCTATGAGCCAGTAAATTCTGTGAAATTCAGTGACACTGCCAAGTTAGAACACTTCAGACCAACCACTTCTGCAATGAACGTCCTGCCAGATGGCTTCAGCTGATAGATTAAAAGGCCACCCCCTCCAGGAGCCTCTCTGGTCTGAAGATGTCTGATAGCTGACCTGCGTAGGTTTCCACCTTGAAGTGCCCTAATTATCTCTCTCAGACAGACTGAAACAAACTGCAGGCATCATCTATAAACAGCTGTCAAATAGGTGGGAGGGACATCAGAAACACAAAAATTCAATGGGAGATCCCCCCTTGAAGCCACATCTCTTTATACCATCTTGCTATATTTAGACTGAATACGGCAGTTAACTTGGCAACTGTATTCAATGCGGTTGAAAAATGTACACTTAACCTGCTAACTTAAAACAATCTGCCCAATTTAATAATGATCTACCTCATGTCTTTGACTAGCAAGTCAACAAAAAGTTCTAGGGACTGAAGGTGAACTATAATTAGACCAAATTACTAAAATGGAAAAAAAAAAACAGAACTATGAAGCACAGGAGAATAAATGCTACTCACACACTTTGAGTGTAATGAGGATTCTTTCAAGCAGATTACAAACATTATTCTGAGTCAACACAAAACAAAAGAAAGGTGGTCTCATTGCTATTTATCAGCAGAAAGATGATGGAGGGCAGGTAACTGAAAGCATACTAGGTTTGCAGATGTTTTCCTGGGACCAAACATGCAACTTCAGACTAACTCCCCCGGACCTTTAGTCGATATCAGATTCACAGGGCTCTGAACTCTGCCTACTGGCTTGGAAATAGCTGCAAACTGTTCCTTCCAGTTGGCCCTTTAGCTTTGAGGTTCCCAAGAACGCAGCTTCATACTCAGCCTTTTTTGAAGGACTTTCACATTAGTTCTCAGCTATCAAATAACAAGTCTCCCTGGGCAGGGGCAAGAGGGGTAACATAATGAAACTGGGAACTGTAAGACTAAGATCTTTGGGACACCAGTGGTATATTAAGTGTCCCTTGAGAACCATTTATCCCCTAGAAAGCTTTCTACTTTGACCAAAATGAAACAAATTCTTCTTTGAAGGCTAGAAAAGTTATTTCCAGCAAACAGACACTAAACGTAGGCAGCGTCTGATTTACTAAGCATAGCTAATCCTGCTCCAAGTGTAGCCTCTTATCACATACCAAGCCACGTTTTAGTTTTAACTTTCCATTAATTCCAGCATTTCCCAAATGGTGGTGTTAAAAGTTTGAAAGCCTTGGCTTTAGGCTTTCTGTAACCAACTTATGCCTAACTAAGCACAGGAAGTTTGATTAGCAAATATTCTTGCTTTGAACACAGTAACCAAATAAGACCAACGGTCAGTCTCTATAAAGGAAAACAAACACGAGATGTGTGTTTCAGTTTTACCTTCTATCTTTTGGTCCTTACGCAACTCTTCCAGAAAGGGCAAATATGATCTCTTTTCTAAACATAGGAAAATGAGGCCCAGAATATTAAAGTACCTTGTTTGTGGGATATAGAGCTTGATAGTGCAGAGTTAACACACTGAACTGACAATTACTTTAGAGCTGGGACCAGCAAATTTTTCTTTAAGTGGTCAGAAAGTAAGTATCTTAGGCTTTCAGGGCCCAAAGGCTATTCTGTAGATATTTACACACACACTTAAAATGTAACTACAGTCGACCCTTGAACAATGCGTGGGTCACCCCCCCGCCCCTTCCCCTGCAGTCAAAAATCCACATGCAACTTCTAACGCTCCAGAAACTAATAGCCTACTACTGACTAGAGGCCTTACTGAAACATACAGTTGATGAACACATATTTTGTACATTGTATTATATATTGCATTCTTACAACAAAGCAAATAACAGTACTGTACTGATTTAAGAAAAATCATGTATAAGTTGACCCGTGCAGTTCAACCTCACACTGTTCAAGGGTCAATTGTATTTAAAAATATAAAACACATTCTCAGCCTCCAGGCAGTGAACAGACAGGCATCTGGCCAACAGAAGTTGTTGGCCCCCACAGCCTTACCTACACACTCACATGGCTACTGCAGAATACTATCCAAAATTTTTTGCACTATTTAACTTTAAAATTTTGTTAAATTTATTTTAAAAATTGAAGTAAAAGACACATAAAATTGACCATTTTTAACTGTACAGTTCAATAGCAGTAAGTATACTGGCATCGTGCTACTGTCACCCCCATCCATCTCCAGAGAATTTCATGTTGCAAAACAAACTATGTACCCATTAAACAGTTAACTCCCCACCCCCCTTCCAATATAATGCCTAATTTTTATTATGTTGATACACAGGGTCTTTGCTCACTTTATTTTATTAAAGTAGTCCACATGAATAAAAGTCGAGATAGTACTAAAAGATTTTAGTGATGCACAATGTGGCACATGCACCACCTTAATCCTCATTCCTAGTTCCCAAAGGCTACTACTTTCATTCTTTGCTCTTTACCCTGGTTCTTTTTTTTAAAAAATTGTTTTATTGTTATGTTAATCCCCATACATTCCATCATTAGTTTTTGATGTAGTGTTCCATGATTCACTGTTTGTGCATAACACCCAGTGCTCCATGCAGAACGTGCCCTCCTCAAT